TAACACACACACAGTAACACACACACAGAAACACACACACAGTAACACACACACACACAGTAACACACACACAGAAACACACACACAGAAACACACACATGCCAGCATATGCATACATATATACGCCGCTGCTAATCCGCCAGTAAGTGCCAAGCTGAGTTCCGCTGGTGGTAGGCAGGGTGGGGCAGGGGGTGGTGGTGGATGTGAGGGGCCGGGGGGAGGGAGGGAAACAGGTGATCAGTTGGTGCAGAAATGGAATAGAAGAAGAGGAAAGAGGGATGTCACTGTGGCGTCAGTAGAGAGCTCACATTTTAACTACATAGTGTGAACTGTTCAATTTGAAGCATATGAGGGAAGTGTTTTCTGTTTATTGAACCTGTTCAGTTGAAAAGCACATGTCTGCATCCAGAGTCACATGTTTAGGTATCCAACTATACAAAAAAGTTGTATATGTTGGGTAAGTGTGCCTGTTTTTGATTCATGTAAAATGAACTAAAAGTTGTGTATGTGTGTGTTTGTAAGGATATATGGCCAAGGTGGGGACCAACCGTGTGGGCCCATAATCCTAAATGACCTCAGAAAGGGTCAAGTTGAAGAACGCGGAGGTGGGGCACTCTGAGACGGAGGAGATTAGGGCTGGAAGCCTGCTCACTTTCAAGATGCACTGGTTGCTGTTTAGCAGGCAGATTGGTTTAGCTGCACACAAACTGGAGCGCAGGCTCATGTGCAACTGGCAGTTCGCACTCTTCCAGTTCAGCTTGACAGCCTTTCAACCCTACTTCCCTGCCAGGGGAGGTGCTGACGAAATCACCTATCAAATGATTCTCCCAGATACACAACTTCACTTTGTCGCTGCTGATATTTTGATGAGTCACGATTCAGTGTGCCCGAGCTAAGTACACTCTACTTTGAATCTCTTTTATGAGCATGAATAGCCACTATTCAGGGTGTTTTTGGAATGTTTTCTTTATAGGTATTCAGATATATGCCAGGAGTTATATTTAGCTCGGGTCCTCCTGGAGTCAGAAGGTTTAAAATTAGGAGGTGTCAAAATTCCAGTACAATTCTTAAGTTACTGTCAATAAACGGTAAAGGACTGCTCTTAAAGGCGTAGTGTGTTGGCAAGGATGCATTATGGCATGGTCTGTGCGTGATAAGCTGCTTGGGAAAGTGTGTGTGAATTTGTCCTCTTATAGTACAAAAGTGTAAATCCTCTACATGGTATACACATGCATTTACACATCTAAATATCAAGATTCCTGAGTGCGTGCCGCTTATGTGCACCGATGTGTGTTTTTGCGCGTTTGTGTGTCCATCTCTACATTAGTGTTTGTAGGATCTGTTGACAGGGAAGCATGCAGCATTTTATTTGCTCAAGGGCTGAAAAAACACATGGCGCTAGCAAGGGAGCACTGTGATATGAGTCTGCTGAAAGCAACCTGGCCAGCCAGAATTCAACCCCGGGATCATGATTCAACTAAATATTTGAACACACTGTACAATAACAGAGCTGTGCAACATAAAGTTTTATTAATGCATATGCATTAAAAAAGCTTTTTTGTTCCATTACAGTAAGTATGTACTATATGTAAATGGTCTGTGACATGAACTACATGTTTTTTTTTATTTTTTATAAAGTGTTGGTTTTATATTTTAAAGTTCAAAATGTCTGAAACGCATTAATGTTGACAATTCAGAACATTAAAATATCTATGTAAATGTACACAAACATTGGGTTCAACACCTTGTCTTGCTGCAGTGATATACAGGTGTCCTCCAGGACAATGTGACATCACTGCTGGGTGTGTCGCAACAAAACACCCAAAACATACTAACTCTAACCCTAACTTTCAAAATAAAGTCTATATCAGTCTGGATGTAGGCCTTAGGTTCCCTCACTTTAAACATCTACAACACTTTTAAGTTAATATCTGGAGATGGGTTAGTTTGGACAAAAATAATATAAAATTGAACTGCTAAAGGACCTGTGTAAATTTGCTACAGCCATACATTTTGTCACTTTAGAGAGTGAAATCCCCTTTTTTTCTAATATTAGTGCAGCAAAACAATCTTCAAGCAGAAAGCCCTCTCAATTGTATTGTTAATTAAAATTTCCGAATATTAACTCAATGCTTTTAGACTGCTAGTGTTTGGGTAACAGCACTGAGTTTGGTAAACTATGTTTCAGTATCCTATAAGCGTATGTGTAGTTCTACCAACACGCATATCTCATCTTTACAGGACTGCATTGAGAACGTAAAGCTGACGTAATGCACATCACACTGTCATTATGTCAAGTATTTTCCTAATGCTAAGCCTAAACTCTATTCAAACCTGTTAAAAATTGACGGTGAAAACACTACCTCAACATACGCAATAGTAACATCATTGTTCATCCCTGGCGAGTGCGCGCTGCAGGCTTCATGTGGCCATGCCCAACACTTACACTGGGAGATTCTGTCTGCAGCTGCCCACCATTCAGTTTTCATCAACTGGGTGGCAAACACTGATGAGGTCATTGCAATATAGCATCTGTAGGAACAAGTGCCCTCTATTTGTCATTCCTCTTATTCATATCAGATGAATGAGCAGCTTTTAGGGAGTGTATCATACATGTGCATGAAACTCCAAACTAAAAGAATAAGCCCCAAAGAAAATCTGATCTGCACACACTTGAAATATAAGCTTGTTATGCTCCTTATGGCTGTTGAGGAGTGCCAAAATATATATATCATAGATCCTAGAGGAATTTTCAACTCTCGAACAAAGACAATGTAGTTCAGTTAATGCATAAAGTGCTGTAAGTGGTCTATCTCTCAAACAGGAAGTGTAAAATGTCAATATCACATAAAAGATGTTGTTATTACTCAGTGGGACACACATGAAGGTTAGAAACTTCCTACACTCGTGTGCGGTGATCTGTTAAAAGTGAAGAAACCCACATTAACAACCAAGGCTTTTATTTTGTAATATTCATTTATTGTTCAATAAAAATAGATTTAAAAAAAGTGACGTGATGTCTCCTTCATGACTTCGCCTGATGGATCTGCCAACAGCTCCTTGTAAACATGGGGCTTCTACTTTTTTTTTGACTGGAGAGGGAATTCAAGCCCCCCCCCCCTTCAGCATAATCTTAAGACAGACTCCTGCCTATAACTTCACTGACCTTTAACCCCTTTAGTGATGACAGCCCCACATTCACTTACTTTCATATTTAGGGCAGATACAGTACATTCATCCCCTGCTCTTGTTTGTCTATGTACATTGTTCGGTTTCTGGTTGTGTGATTTGTTTTTGCAGTTGGCCCTCGTAAAAACCGCTTTTAACAATGTGAATAAAGAAGACATCTAAGCGCTAACACAAGAGTAAATCCAATTACAACTTATAACATCAGTTTGTCTTAAGACATCTTTATACAGTAGTTACACATAAACACATCTTTGAAGGTGTAAGGAAACTAAACTCTGTAAACACTTTGAGAGATGCCACTGTTAACTCCCCCTGTGACAGGTTCGACAGCATCCTGTGAACCTGTTATGCTACAGTAACTGAGGCCTGGTCCACTGATTTTCATCAAACTCTCCTCTTTTGGACCTTTCTGGTGCTACATTTGGAAATGCTGCAGGTTATTATAATGGTATGGTGTTGCTGAGCTGGCTTAATGTCTTACAGCAGGAAAAAGTATTTATAAGATGCTGAAAAACAGCTGATATAAAAAAATAAATAAAACACAACAGCCTGCAGTTTCTGTGAGTGTGAGATGTGGAGTTGGATGTAAACAACGCACAGACTGTTCTGTTTCAGATATAAGGTGAGGTTTCATAGACTGTATAGTGTGAACAGAGAAACCAAAACTTGGCACAGGTTCCCAATAATTAGCTAAAAGGAATGGGTTCAATTGTCAAGAGGCCCTGGTTTATTAATATAGTTCAACACATCAGTACAATACCTCATATTACATTATATTAATAATATAATTATATATTATATATTATATATTCTTGTATCTTGTTAGACATCTGTAAATTGTTTGTATTGTTCAAATCATTAATTGCTGAAACTAAATACAGATGAAAGAATAAAAAAAATGCGATAAAGATTAACTGCGTTTTTTACTTTGCATTACAGAGTTTTACTTATTTTTTTTAGGGACAGTTGTGTTATCTGCATCTTTAATGTCGAACTTCTCCAAAAAGTTAGCAAAAACTAGCCCGCTGATGCCTCCAATATTCTCCATTGGTCACATGACCCCTGCATTGTAAGTCGTAGTGGTTTGTTGAGGGTTTCTGAAATATTTATTTTAACCATCGTACAGTTAAGTCCTTTCATATATTAGTCTTCTTTTGAAGCAGTTTAGGAGACAGTTTGGAATACAAGGTATGTTACTTTGCTAACAAACACCGGGCCCTCTTAACAACTTGAGTCATCCCTTTCACACTAGAATCCCTTTGGGAGACCCTGCTCTAGACTGACAGGCACCACTTTCTGATGCATCTGGGAATACCACTGAACCAAACACAACAAAACACTGAACTGGTTCACTTTTAGCACAGCATGACTACAGTACCTTAGATGTACTCAGCACAATTCTGGAAGGTTTACATGCTTTTTTCCATCTATTAGAAAAACAAAAAGAGTCAAGTATTGCTTGTTTTTTCTCTGTAGTGACAATCCAATTTAGCTGGTTTTATTTTGTGTTACTTCACAAAATGAGATGATCGTACTTGTAAGCTACACTACGACTGAGTCTGCTATACAGAGGATTCGTTGCTGCAAAAGAGAGAAAAAGAGCACCAGAGAGCGAGTGCCAGGTTCTAAGAGATGCAGCCTCGACCCTCCTCCTCCTCTCTCTCTCACTCTCTATCAAGCTCTCTCTCCCTTGCTTGGTTGCTTTGCTACCAGACAGTACAGTGGCCAAGAGCAGTTGAGTGACAGGCTGACGGGCCAAATCGTCGGGGCAATTGCGTCCCCAAGCGGAGACGCCAGCCCCCCCCCCTGTACTTCTCCCTTCCTTCCTGCCCTCTGGGCCGGGTCCAGAGCCCACATCCTGGGAACATGGGGCCGGGCGGCTGCAGCCGACAGCTCTTTCGGAGTGACACAATGAGAGGGTTCATAGGAAAAGCCTTATCCGCGTGTGGCTGGGGAGAAGATGATGTTGCCCATCTTGTTTTGGCAACGCGCATGGCCCGATGTGCCGGCATCAATCATGCCAGAAGTCAAAGTGACGCTCCATTAATCTTGCTCAGCATCACAATCTTCTTCCCAATGATTTCTGACAGCACAAAAAACTCTTTTCTCTTTGTTCCATTTTGTTATTGTTCATTTGGTGTCCATATGAGAGTCTCTGATGTTCATAAAAAAGGTCCTGCGTACGGGAGGAACGCATTTCATGGAAACAGAAGCCTTTCAGATAACAAGAACAGAGCAGAAAATATGCCAAAATGTTATAGCTGCAGTTGTGGACGGTAACACCACAGTGAGAGAGAAAACAGTGTAGAGTTTAGAAGCCTGTTAGGAGCTCGTTTGTACAAATGTAACAGTTCCTTAATTTCCAAACACATTTATCGAAAGAGGATCTGCACATGGCAGGAACTCTTAAATGTTTACTTTATCTCGTTGTCTCTACTGGAAGTATTACACTGTGGTGGCCCGGCTGTGTTTGAGCGCTAGTGGTGAATACTCCTTAATGCGAACGCACAGTTTGCCCCTCAGCCAGGGGTTTTGGAGCTCCAGGGGACAGAAATCATCCTGAAGCCACTTTTCTCTATTGTCCACAACCAGCACGAGGCTAAAGTGCTTCAACTGTTCAGGACTGTAGTATACACACTGCTCCTGTTCACCACCACCTCCACTGCTGCCGAGTATGCGTCGAGACACAACGTTCATCTCCTGCACCACCAGCTGGATCATCTCCCGTGCTGATGTTCCTGGAGTTACACAAAGCTGAAACGCAGGAGGAAAAAGGAATCATGAAACAAACACAAAAAAAAGTTTTAGGTGAATTACTTCAACATATCAAAACATATCTATACCTTAACACTGGTCTCCTTTGGCAGGCCTGTGCGGTACTGTGGGTACACTCTGAGCGTGGCATGACAGCCTTTCCTGAGGGCAGCAGGTGACGGGGAGGAGAGTCTCTGTGTGCCACTGTCCTCTGATAACGTACGCGCGGGTGGAAGTAGTGGTAGGCAGCGCTCAGCCGAGCAACAGCGGTCCACTGACGAGGGCCTGTGCCATCTTCGCTGTGGCGAGGTGGAGGGCGAGGGGCAATTAGTGTGGTAGCAGTAAGGCTGGTGGTGGGCTGAGGTGGTGGAAGGGAACTCCAGGCTGCTGGTTCTCACACAGAAGGCCTGTCTCTTCTCTGTGATGTGCAACAGCTCAATCTGCCTGCTAGGCAGGATGAAGTCACTGTCAAACAGCTCCGGGGCGCCTCTTCGCCTTTCCCCACCACACCGAACTCCTCCCCCTCCACCACACCGCTCACCTTCCCTCCCGTGCTGTGGCTCCGAGGCCTGGAGGACATCTGGTGTGGAATCCCTTAGCGCCCCCCCTCCACGTCCACCCACGCTGAGACACATCCCTCCTCCTGAGCTGCTCCCATCGCTACGCAGGAAACTGCAGGGCTCCAGCGGTGCAGTCGACGAGAGGGGCGAGGGGGGCAACAGGTCCAGCTCACGGGGACTCTGGGCACGGCTGGAGTCGTAATCACTGTCAGTGGTGAGGAAGACCTCAGAGGAGCCCTCTTCGTCTGATAGTCCAACAAAATCTGCAGTAAAAAAGTACAAAATCATAATCTTGTGTGTTAATGTTATTTTTGGTATATATATTATTATTAATAACAGCACCATATAACCGCAGAATCAGACATTCTGTTGTCAGATTCTGACCTGAGTGCTTACGGCAAGGTTCTGGCGAAGGCATGGGGGAGGGCATGAAGTCTGGCTGAGAAGAGGTGGAGGGAGGCTTTTCGGGCAACACTTCCTTGGAGAAATCAATTATCCAGCTTATGCAGATGCCTCCCGTTGGCTGCTTGTAGCGGGCATACTGCAAGGCATCCATGATCCACCTCGCATCACGCCACACCTCCTCCATTTGCTGTTGTACAGTCATCAAGATCATGATAGTTAATCTCAGTACCAATCAAATGTATTATTGGCTTCATTTGAATCCATCTCCCTCATAAATACTAGCCCCCGTAACCCAGATGTTGCAGTGGTATGTGTGTAAAAATATATTTATTCCAGCTGTACTGTCCTTCGCTTCGTCTTTATATGCGGACTGAGTGGTCTTACCTGCATGTGTTCCTGGACCTGCTGGTGTTTCTTCTTAGCAGCAAGCAGCTCGGCCTCAGAGAAAGCCTCCCTTAGTGCCTGCTGGGACATGAGGGACTCCAGCTCAAGCAAAGCCGATACTCTGCAGTACTGGCCAATGAAACTGGGGCAATAGGCATTAAAATGGACTGTGGGAGAATCCAACAAGAAAAAAGACATGTGAGACGCTGTTCCACTAAAAACAAAGAAACATATATATATATTTTAAAACATCAGTTGGTGTCAAATATTTGTTTTATATAATGCAAAACGTGTGATTAGTGAACCATTTCTGCCTAAAATTTGATATACTGACCCAGTTCAAAGATCTGCAGGGGCAAGGTGAGGAAGCCAGAGCGGGGGGAGTATGGGTTATTCTGACCAGGAGCTGTGCACACTTCATCTGAAGGTGGCAGGAGGAGCAGGAAGGACACTTTCTCCCCAAACTCCAACACTTCCTGGCTGTAGATACGGAAGTCCTGTGCCTAGACATACAGAGACAGGTGATCTCAGTGGGCCTTTGGATTTACAGGAACTAAGTTTAGTTTAAGTCTAACCTTGAAGCAGTGACAAAATACTGATATGGTGTCCACTTAAATCTTTCAGTTAATTTGTATCCATTTTTGTGTGCAAGACTGCAAGGTTATAGATTATTAGCCTAATTTTTATCTTTTAAAATGTATTTATTTGTAAGACCATTTAACATTGTATTTGATAGATACAAGTAAAGGGTGAGTCTCTGGGTTGCACTCAGAATACAAAAAGAATTTAGACTACTAGGCCACAATGCAGTCAGTTTTCACTCATTTAAGTATCTTGAAAGCAGAACCAGACGCTCCAACTCTAATAGTGGAATGAGAAGTAAGGAATAAGGCAACTGCATGGTTTGCTGAAATTAGAGGTTATTGCATATCACTAATCCACTGTTGGGATCTTTTGTGGAGCAGGTTGAGAGTAAAAGTATCTTATTCCTAAAGCCATATTTGTTGTTTTAGAACCCGTTTTTAACATTGTATATATATTCATGTCCCTATTCATGTAACTTTTCATAGTACATTGTAGCAGTCTATAAAGTTCTTTATAGTGCTAGTTGGAAGAGTGGGTGGTAGAAGGTTAAAGCCAAAAGGACAATGATTGCCGTTTTGCTGGAATTCAAACCATGTTCTTTTACAGAAATCATGTAGAATTAGTGGTCTAACCAGAACTGGCTGATCATCCATTGGAATCATTTTCATTGCTTTGAGCTGCTACTGCCAGCCTCTCGAACTTTGCTGGATAACTTTTAAGGGGTTGCAAGTCTCACTACAGAACCTTATGCTTATGGACAAAGTTACTCGCAGTTTCAGACTGACTCTAACCTGATTGCCAGGGACATTAATGTGTGCCATCAGGTCCTTGAGGGCGCTGCGCAGGTCCTGTAGGAGGCGATGTGGAGCACTCTGTACTTCATCGTCCATTTCCAACGACTCCTCCAGAGAGCTGAGAGCCTGCAGCCACTGCCACTCCTCTCTAAGACAACACACGTAGAACACACACACACAAATGCTATAAAGGTTGCATCAATCCACTTTACAGGTATCTTTGTCATTGTTTTGCCAGTATATATGCCCATCCTAAACCCATATACACTGAGCAAAATGAAGTGGCATATGATTCCCACCTGGATACGTTGCTGTTGTCCCGAATTTTGGTGTGACAGAGGACGTTGGGGAGTTTTTGGGGGACCAGCACTCTGATTTGCTCCACAGATGTACACAGCTTCAGATAGCCCAGGTATAAGCCTGGAGACAACATCTTCCTGCTCCGCCTGTGATATGCCAGCTTCTCCTGGGAACAACAGGTGGACAGAGACTAAGTAAGAAGACGGTATGGTAGTGTTGACTGGGATTGATAGTGTGGTGACACTGATTCTAATTGTGTCTCTTTCCTCACAATCATTTAAATTATGTTGTTTATATGTTTTGCTGTTGTTAGTCCTTCAGAGACTTCGGTCTAAAGTTGTTCCAGCATGTTTTAAGTGGAAGTAAGCACTGCAAAAAAGCCCATCAGCACATTTTTATGTATTTCATCATACAATTTGTTCATAACTGGCCACAAAACAAATATTTCAGTGAAATGTGGTTTTGCCAAAGGGAGTCTCCACCATTGTTTTGGAACCACAAGGCCAAACCAACTTACACTGGAGACAAAACAGCATTGCAACAATGGTATCAAGTTTACCGGTCTATATAGACAAAATCAACTTGTGGTTTGTGGTCGTTCTGAACAAAACAGCCACACAGCGTTAGTTAAAAAACACAAAACAACAACAATTAGCTAGATTATCATCATCACGCCCACAATGCTGAAATTCAAATGTAATAGTTTCCATAGCCTGCATGAGCAGCTGATTAACATTCAAGTTGGGTTGGCATGGATCCAAGATCTGACCTGACATCTGGCATTTTAATTAATTTGATGGCAAGTCAATTCAATATGTGTCCTTACAAAGAAGGTGACAAATGGAAGAGGAGAGTCATGATGATTAATGTTTGTCTAAATAAAGAGTGTCTGCACAAGCAGCACTCATAATTGGAAGCACATTTCAATTTACAGTCCTATTGTTTCAGCCTCGTGTTTACTGGTTTTCTGTGAATGAGAGTTTAAAAACATTAGAGCATACCAATAGCAGTAAATAAATGTTTTCCAGTGCTTTTAGAGGCATTTTGTTGTTGACAAAGTGCCTTACACTACACTGTTTCATCAGCTAAATCTCAGGGTAACAAAAAATGCAAAGAATGAGCCTGATAAAAACCACAACCACTGCTGACAAACCCTTCTACCATTCCAGCAGCCTGTCTCCAAAACAAAAGCAAAAAATAACAAATTTTCCAAAACAGAACTAACTTCCAATCACTGCCCATCTATTCCTGTAGTACTCACATGGAGTGTGATGAGAAGCATGTCCAAGGCAGTGGGCTCTTCAGGGGACGAGATGGACTTGCGTTGGAGCTGGAGTTTACAAAGCTGCGTCCAGCGAACCCCATCAAGGTTGGGACAGGCACTCATGTCCTTCAGGAGCACCAGCAGGGCGTTACCATGCTTGTCTTTGATTGGCTCAAAATACACCTGACCAAGGTCTTGGGTTCCAAGCATTCCCTGAGGAAAGACATCAAATAATAATTATACTGCTGTTCTGTGATTTTCTCTCAGTTTAAACTAGAAGGATGAAAGCACAGAATGAAGGTATTCACAAAGATTCTTCAGACCATGAAGTTATGAGGTCATAGTTACCACAACTGCCACAATTTCAATTACAAAACCACAGTTTATGATATTTAAGTCTACTGAGAATTGCACTACCTGTAGCTGGGAGACAGCCTGCAGCATCTTGAGGCGTGTCTGCAGAGTACAAGAACAGGACGACTGGGAAGGACTGAGACACTGCTGTAGCCAGGGAATCTCCTCCCATAGATACGATACCTGGCACACGGATTGAAAGTTTTTCAAATGCAGAACATTAGCTTACCATCTACTGTTCTGTTTGTTTGGATAATGTAATTATTTTTAAAAATGTAATATGTGTCCATGTAATTACTAAAATATCAATTAGTAAACAAAAACCCATTATTAACATCACCTTATTAAATATGAAATTCCTGTTTATTAGTTAATTAAAGCAACTTACTTAACTAGTCAGGTAATTTTTTCACTGTTATTAGTTCTCTGATGATTGTATTAATGGGTTTGTAATCAAACAAAACAGTTTAAAGTTTGTTGTACATTTCTACCTATATTTGTCTCTCTCTCTCTCGGTCTCTCCCTTTCTGTCTGTCTGTCTACCTTGGTAAACCAGAGGAAGTCCTGCATGAGGGAACTGGAGTAGGAATCTTCAACTTCCACAATAGGAATCTGGTCCTCTGGAGTCACCAACACGTTGTCATCTCTGTAGAAAATCGATGTTAGATAGAGACCTCTGGAAGATAACACAGATAAAGTAAGTGTTAATGAAGAAACACTACAGCACTGAATGACTTTCTTAATGGTTTTAGTGTACTGGAGAAGAGTTGACCCACAGTCATATTTAATATACAGTGTTCTCTCCAAAATGAATACTCACTGAAAATATATGTAAATTGACAAACACTAAATTTACCATACATATAGTAATTACAATTCCTTTCATATTAAAAGTCTAAAACATGGAAGTGAACTATTTTTACATCCCATTTACAGTAATGGAAGAAAGCTGGACCAAAAGATAATGTACCTTTTCAAGCTTTTAACAAATTTGCTGGTGGGTAGAAAGAGGTGGCGCAGGCTTTTGGATACTGAGTGCTTCCTTCCTTGTGGTGGAGCTTTGCATTGTTCTGTGTGGACAAGACAAATAAGAGAGGGGGTTATGTTAATTTCATAGCAACAGAATAACTCTTACTTACTTTTAATTACTTCTTTTGAATGAATATTTCGGATTCTTGATGCTTAAAATCGGGGCACTTGTGAGAAACTATGGCCCGGCTCTGATTGGCTGTCTGATTTTCCTGCAAACACAAATGAATACCTCTGTCCTGACCAACTCTAGAAAAATCTCTTCCAGTGACAGGCTGTTACCTAATTGACAACCAACCTGACACGTCCAACAACACGGTCGGAGTGGAATGTTTTCCGACATTTCATGCGCTCCAGTGGCGCGGCACCATTTGACAGTCATGCTGGCTGCCAACAGCAGACTATGGGCCTTGAGGGAACCACTAGCTCTCAGATCCCAGAAGGACACTAACTGTATGTATATGTATATGTGTGTGTGTTTACCTGCATATACTATAGCTGCTGGAGCATGGCATGTCTTGAGCTATAGCCATATGAGTACAGCCAAGGAGCTGTAGTAATTTGTGTGTGTGTGTGTCTGTATGTGTCTTAACCCTTTGCCACTCACTGACAGGGAGGTCAGTTAAGTCTGTGGGGACATGTTTATTTTTAGTGGGCCTGGAGGGGGTTGGAGGCGAGAGAGGGAGGTGTGTGTATATATGTATGTGTGTGTGTTTGTGTGGGCGCCTGTTGGTGAGATAACGCACCTCCCAACTCATTAGAAACCCTGAGTCCCAAACCCTTCACAGATTCCCTCTCCTTCCCTCCCAGGTGATCTTACTCCAGCCCCGGGCCACTTACAGTCAATAAATCCCCCCATTCAGGACCCGAAAAGAACTAATTTTCTCTTCAGGTGGACGAATCGAGGTGGAGTAACAAGCAAAAACAGCGCCCCTCGACCCCTCTCACCTCCCCAAATTTCTCTTTACTCGCGAGTCTGTTCAGCTCCAGTCCTCCTGGCCTCAGTCCCTGTTTGACACTGAGTAAGACAGACAAGTAGGGCCGACTGCTGGGGTGCCTGTGTTAGTCAAGGCCTCTTTCACAGTTTAATTAATAGTGTTTGGACAAGAGGGAGAATGTGGCGTGGGCTATAAGCCGGGCTGCGATGGGGGTGCGTACATGGACATGTGGGAGAGAGTCAGAGTTGAAAGAGGGAGCATGTACTTGAATATTTGTGTCTGTTCATGTACATGTGTATCTATGTGTGTGCCTGTCTATCTTTATGTCTGTATATGTATGGACAGTAGACAGGACGACTGGCGGGCTGTGGGGGGTGGAGGGGGGTGGCAGTAGTCAGTGTTAATTTATGCCCTCTCCCGACTCCAGCCCAGGACTCGTCTCTTACAGGAATAACAAACATGACCCCGGGCCACGCCACCTTGGCTACCGTGCCTGAACTCTCAAGCTCAATCAGTCGCCGTCTGAAGAACCAAGAGCCACTCAATACTGACTATTATATTGCGTCTCGCCCTATTGCAAATATGGTCTGGCCACAGTGGACAATAGTAAGTGGGTGAGTGTGTTTGGGCATGTGGGTGTGCGAGGAAAAGAGAGACAACTTGCTCAATGCTAAATGCAGTTTGCCGTCATGTAAAAGAGTCAGTGTGGACAGGTTTTGACACTTATGGGACCAGCTTACAGCCAGCAGTGTTTGGGGATATAAACAGCCTGAGTGTGAGAGAAGTTGATCTGCATTTTGTCACAGAGAGAGAGGTATTCAGCAGAGGAAGGGCTGAGTCATGGAAAGACGCATAAAGGGGTGGAGGTTGTTGAGACAGAGGGGAGGGTATTATTTTTGAGGTGGTATGTCGTCTTAGGGTGTATGGCCCCCGAAGTACTTGTCGTGCCTGAGATTGTAAAGTGTCTGTCAAGGTGAGATGAAACACAGCAACTGGTGAGACGTGTTACACCTGCGAGTTGAACCGTCCATTGCTCATGTTTGTTTACACCAAGAATACTTCTGAAACATGAACTAGACGGTAGCTAAAAATTCTGATGTGTTTGTTTAAAATGTGATGGCCGTCGGGTTAATGTCAAAAGCTCATACCACAGCTCAGGGTACATTTTACTTGAACTTCTGTACTTTCCTTTAACTGATATCAGTACTAAAAAGCAATCTTGGTTGAGCCTATTTGTGGTCAGGTAGTTTCAAGTTGTTATTCTACCTAAGAATTTGCTGCATGTAATTCCATAGTAGAACCGGATGGCAATTTAAAACATCTAGTATGATATAACATGTACTCATATATAGTTCAATGAGTACATCAAGTCACTATCATTTAGAGGTTTTGGGTTTCACTAGGGGTCAACCATGCAAACCATTAATGCTCTCATATTACTGTTCAGTCTTTTAGGTAAACACGCCCACCAAATTGATCAAAAAGTTGTTGATACCATGGCAGACACAGTGGCGGTGAGCTTCTTTTATCTGCCCAAGTAGCTGGTCCAGTGCCTCCTTCTGGCCTCTCTGACGTGGAGCACGGCCATCGATATCCCTCCAACCTGCAGACAGAGGTAAGAAAGACAATATCAGAGAAGAGACCATGCAATGTTTTGTATTTATCAAGAGGTATAATGGTTAAGGATGATTTAGGTTTTCTAGCCAGGTCTCTTACTATACTGTGCATTAACGATGGCAAGGCAAAGCTGATGATATTTTGCTCTTATTCCCTAGTAAAAAAACACAAAGTTGTAACCATTCTAGTGGCATCGCTCTATGGAATGGCGTCAGCCCGTCAGTACTCCACTTTGGCCCAGATGGAAATATCTCAGCAACTATTTGATGGATTGTCAAACAGATGTGTCCATACAGCGGATACAACAGATTTATTCAATGTAACTGTATTAAAGACATTAAAGACATTTTTTACATGGAGTTGCAGAGATGAGCTGACATCCTGCTGTATGTTTGGTCCAGCAAAATAAGTTTTAGGTACATCAGGTATTAGGAATGGTCTTCTCAATATGTATCACAAAACTTCTTATATCACAAAAGGCAGTTTGAACACAATGAAGAAAGATTGTTTTGTTCTTTATATTTAGAGCCATGTTTTCAGACCAACAGTCTTCATTTCAGATTGTAGATCAATCCAGACATTTATTCTTTTTCTATTAATAAAAAAACATTAGGCAATGGTGACTACTGTCAGTCATTTTCTTGTAAGATTATTATTACTAACAGGTTGCTGCTGGGGACGCATTCAGATGGAAAGATAGAATACTATTGATTCAAAGCTTGAATGTCAGCATTTTTTGGTTTATTCGAAATTGGTGAACTCGGACCTATGGATTATGGAGCAATAAAATGGACTTTCATGGACTACTTTTCATTTGAAAAATGCCTTAGAATCCCACTACTGGGCAGCAGGCTCACAGAGACTTTTAAGGTATAAAATGCTCAAACTACAGGTTAATGCTGTACATTTTCTTTCTTGTAGTGATTTTAATTGTAGTGAAAATATCAGTAATCTAGATTATACTTGGCTGATGTGACACTGATGTATTGTACAACCATACAGTACTGACACATACATCAGTGGGACTCTAGGTGAGGTTAGTCTGGGACTTGAGGATGGGGTTAATCAAATTCTGCTTAGGACCCTGGAAATCTTTGGGCTGGCCCTGTTCCTGAGGCCTCCAATAGTAGGAGTTTTGAGGTGTGTGAGACGGTCTGCTTCTCAAACAGGTCTAGTGTGTTCACAATAGGAAACAGCACCCACCCTGGTAAGGTTGGCTGACAGACAGCTCCAGAGAGCTCCACTGCAACTCACTATGCTGCACATATTTGGGCTCAGAACAGTCAGTATGCACAGACACAGACACACAAACACACACACACACACACATACAAACATGCCGTGACTGCTCAAGCGTCAGAGAGTGAGGAAAGTAACACACCACACATTCCCGCAACGCCTCCAAAATCAAAAGACTTAAATAGTTGTCTGCATCTCTGACTGTTTCTATTTCTCTTTGTCTTTGTGTTTTTCTTCGTGGGTTTTGTGTTCTTCCTTTCTAATCATATAGACACACGTACAAACAAAGCATTGATACTTTCTGTGCACTGTATTACAAACACACAATTTCCCTTGCCTCTTCATACATGACCAGCTTTGCAGAAAACGATCCTTCAACACCTTCTGCCTTCTGTGTTAGTAAGCCAGCATCCTTGCTTGCTCACTGGAGAATGTGTCAGCGATAACCCGCCCCCTTACCACCATCAACCACCACCAATCCCCCAGCCCCCATCACCCCCAGCCCACCTCCCTCTCCTGGAGCCCCCCGGAGGGCGCGTGGGGCTGAAACACGGTGCGCTCTATTCCCGGAAAGGTGCCTGTCCCGACAGGACAAGCGGGCCCTTTAATGGGCGTCCACGGCCCGGTATAAGGCCCCCACTGTTGGGGCCGCGCCGCATGCTACAGCACAGACATGCAAATATTTCCAGTGGTAGGCCCAAATGGAAAACACAAACACGCAACATCGAAATTAGCTCTGAGAGAGGGAGGGAGGTGGACAGTAGAAAAAAAAGAGAGGGAAAGCCCAGTCTACTAAAATGAAGACACACACACACACACACACACACACACACACACACTTGCTGAAAAACATGGTGTGCTGATGAGGACAAACATGTTCATGTGTTCCCCAGATGTGCACTAAGTGTGTCAACATGCACACAATCACAGCACCTATATTGAGTCTCCTACAGTAGGTTTGTACCAACTGTGCAGACTCAACAGGCTGTACACAAACAGCAATCATGAGAGGCTTATAGCCTACGCCACATCAATCGATACACAGAATGAATTACTCTACATAAATGAATTCAATTCAATAACTTACAAAGCAACAAATGTAACCTTATATTATTTGACTAAACATACAATCTATAGAAAAGAAAACTGAAAGTGCTCAATCTGTCCTCTGTAACTTACTAGAAAAAAATAGATAGATAGATAGACAGATAGACAGATAGACAGATA